ATAATGTGTAGACTATATAGTATCTAAGAACAGAACATAGATTAAACTAAAAAGGCATACCTATGGCCCCGAAAACCCTGAGACAATCTCTCCCTAACCTGTAAATATCAAAAACAACCATTCCAGAAAGTTTATCCCCTTAAAATAAAATTCGAAGTATTGTCTCTCACATTATACTACAGGCAATGTACAAATGAAAGGAGTTTCTTACATGACATCACCTTGGGATGTCTCATGGCCTCTATGGTTCGCTTTCTGATGAACTCCCGTGTCTCTGTGCATAAAACCAAGATTTAGATAATTCAAAAAAGAAAAATCCAATTGGAGAAGAGGGAGCAAAATTACTCAGTACCTGCACTATGCTTCTTGCCTTTATTCCAAGGTGTTTTCCCCTTGTTGGCTTTCCCTATCCTCATTCTCCTCTGCATTTCCTTAATTTCCTTATCAGAAATTCCTTCCATAGAGTCACCATTGTAGTTTGGAACTTGTTCAGTTGAATAATAAAACAAATTTGTTCCATTTCTATCAAATGAGGTCTCATCATTTTTCTTAGGTATTGATGAAATATTAGCATTATGCTCCAATAAGGGGTCCATACTCCCTGGCAGTGACTCTCTCCCACTGGTAGTTAACTTCAAAGCATTAGCAGACAGCACTCTCGAGAAATGACTTGAGGAACTCAGAACATGAGATAAACTCCGAAACTGTAAAACTTGATTTGCATGGATCACAATTGGTTGTGTATTCGTGTAGAATTTCCTGTTACATAAATTCATGTCTTGATCAAAAACTTAAGCATGGTTGGCAAGAGTAGCAGTAGGATGGGTAACCTACCAGGAAGTCCTTATGTCAACTCAAAAAAATTTGATCATAAGGCTAAGGACATTCAAAGTCTGTGTGATACAATAGGACACACAATATATAAGAAACTATTCATCATATTCCACTTCCCTTTTATCTTATTTTTTGATTCTCAGTGGAAACATTAAGATATTTAGACTTGTCAAGAAGAAACAAAAGATCAAAACAAACAGTTTTTGAGTTGCCTTTTACATGGCTACCTGTTTATGAAAATTTACCTAGTGCAAAGATGAAGCAACAAAGTACCATTTTACAGATCCCCTCAAATCCTTTGACATTTATTCCAGCCATTCAGTGAGAACACTTAATCAAAAGAAATCGGATGTAAATCATAATGGGGGTGAACCATTTGCAGGGTTTCTAAGTCTATATGCCTCCAAGTTCACTTCTTCTATGGGGGTAAGTTTAGTAGTAGGATCGAACGTGGTATTACTGTTACTTATTTAATGCATTAAGGATTTTTCCTTTGTTGTTTTTCTTTCCTTTATTTAATTTTTTTTATTTTTTGTGTTTGTTTTTTTTTTACATTAAGGATTTTATTTTTATTTTTTTTGTGTTGTTTGCTTGGTAAAAAAAAAAAACAGAGAAAGATTGAGAAATGGATAGAGAAAGAATGGATTGCTTTCTTATAGTCATTGTTGAATTGTACATGCCCTAAAGGCCCAAACAAGAAAACAAATAAATAAATGTACGATTAACAGCTTAAATAGCATACAGTACCAAAAAAGCTGATACGGAAAATACATTGCTTTATAAGTAAAGCATTGCAGAACAGAAACATAATCACAATGAAAAAGTATATACCGAAAAGAAAGCTAATAACCCAATAAAACACAGTTAAATTGCAGATAGGCAAAATGGAACCTAACAAACCAAAAACACAAAATGTACACGGAAGTCATGAGAGCCCAAATGAAAAGCTAACACACCAATCCATCACAATAAACGAGAGTTAGATTGCAGATAGCCAAAAGAACAAAATGTAGACAGAAACCATGAGAGCTCAAAGCTCACAACCACAACAAATTTTTAAATTGCAGATAGCCAAAACGAAAACTAACAAACCAAAAACACAAGATCTAGACTGAAGTCATGAGAAACCTAGCTAAAAATCGCAGTTAAATTGCAATAGCCAAAACGAATTCTGGAAAAACAAAAGCAATAAATGTATAAGGAAACAAAAAAATGCAATGGAGTTACAAGTGAGTAGAGAGCATCTCAACGGATGACTCCTTGCAGAGAGGTCACTTTTTTTTCTCCCACGAAGAGAACGTTACAGCGGAACAAACAAAAGCTCCTCTCTCCCTCCGGCCCTCTGTGTGAATAATTTTAGATGGCGTTTGTGTGGCCGCAGCTTTAACCACCGGTGTTCTCCTCCATGGTTCCCCGCCCAAAATAATTATTTGTAGGAATGAGTACGCGTAGACCCGCGGGAGCAAACTATATATTTATTTACCACCAAGGACAAATGAGGAGAATGGCCTAGAGCTCATTCTCACCAAAAAGCTGGAGCCCAATCTCCCTCTTTATCACTTTTCATTCTAACCGGAAGGCTGGGGCCAAAATCCTTATCACTTTTTAGGAAAAGTGCCCGGGCTTAATTGGTTAGCATTTGCCGATTTGCTTCTCCTCATTGCCTCATCCAAAAAAAAAAGTATCAACCTCAAACAATCAAAGTAATACACACTTTCAAATTTTGTCGAAATAAATATTTTAGTATCGAAAATTTTTAGGATGGCCTAAAAATCTATTTTCACCTTTAAATATGAATTTTAAAAATAAAAAAATAACATAGATCGAACATATCTCTAAATACTTAAAATCTTAAAAATAGACAGTCTAAATATTATGTTATAAGATGCACTCTTTAGGTATTGAAATCTTTGTTTTTTTTATCAACATCCACATCTAGAGTAAGATAAAAAATTGGCCATTTCCAAGAATCAGAACAATATCTTTTGATGGATTTTTATAGCGCGCCTTATTTCTGTGTGGTTGAGAGTTGAAACATTCTATAAATGTCAAAAAATGACCTGCTATTGTTCAAATTTAAGACCTTAATCATGCCATCACAAATTTTTGTAAGATTGGTCACTCGAGGAAAATTGAAAGCTTAGAAATCTATGCTCATGTCCCATTAGAGTAATGTTATCATATAAATTTTTAAAGGAATTTGGCTCTTTATATCGTTTTCAAAATGCCCCACTTTGGACCTTTTATTCTTAAGGGTGTTGTTTGTATAGAGCTGAGGCTCTAAACAATCAAAGTAAAGCCCACCTTTAAGTAGTATTAAGAAATGTGGTTTCAATATTGAAAATGTTTGTGCTAGCCTTAAAATATATTTTCATCTTTTATTATAAAATTTAAAGCTTAAAAAATAGTATAGATCGAGCAGATTTATAGAACTTGAAAATATTGAATATTGACGGTCAAAAATGTGTTATAAGATGTACTATTGTCAAAACTTTAAATCCATTTTTTTTCTCATGTCCATGCATCTTGATGTCAAGATGATCAATTTGAGGATATTTGGGCATCAAAACAACCTCTTCTAGTGAAATTTTTGAGGTGATCTCTAATTAGATTGTTCAGGGCCTCGATCTATATAATATTTTTCCTTTTATTTCTAAAGTTAAGACTCAATATGGTGACCTCATAATCGTTAAGATACAAAGCTACTAAACTTTAAAATTTTGAGAAAGTAAGTTTAGAAGTCAAATTTTTTTTTTCAAGGTCCTTGGACCTTGAATATCTAAGTCATTTCAACAAACCCAAACTTTGGACCATGACAATAAACCTTAAGGTCCTAAGTCATAGTTAAAACCTTTTGTGGACTATGAAGGCCCAGATTCAAAGTAAAATAAGTGTTCAGAAGTTCAATATGTAATCATCATTGCTTTGGATATGAAAGCCGGAAGTGTTCTAAAGTGGGTGCATTTTGGAAAACAGACATACATAAAATGGTATGAAAGTAAAAAAAGAAAAAGAAATATATATATATATATATTATTTTTTTATTTTTTTGGAGATATTTTTGTAATAAAACTATTTTAGGGGATATGGACCTAAATTTCCCTTAAAATTTTGAAGAGCCTTGAAAATATGGGTGCAGTCTGTATAGAGCCGAGGTTCTAAACAATCAAAGTAAAACGCACTTTCAAATAGCATCGAGAAATATAGTTTTAATACTGGAAATATTTGTGATTATCTTAAAATATATTTTTATATTTAATTATAGAATTTAAAGCTTCAAAAATAGTATAGATATAGCAGATCGATAAAAACTTGAAAATCTTTAAAATTGACTGTCCAAAAATGTGTTACAAAATGCAGTATTTCCAAAACTTGAAATCCATTTTTTTCTCATGTTCATGTTGTCAAGATGATCAATTTGAGGATATCTAGTAAAAAATTGATGATCAAATTGAGGATATCTAGTAAAAAATTTTAGGTAAGCTCTAATTTGATTGTTTAGAGTCTCAGCTCTATATAAGCTTTTTTCCTAAAAATATACTTGAATAAATAAAGGTATCATGGGAATGCAGCCTCTAGAACAGCGGCAGCTACAAATAAGCTAAAGAAATTATCACTCAATTGTCAAATAATGGTACACATTCATGCCAAATCATTCCATCTTTCCATTTAAAAATATGTTACAATAACCTAGGAAAATATCACTCAATTGTCAATGGTACACATCCACGCCAAATCATTCCATTTAAAAATATATTAAAATAACCAATTACCGTCTTCAAAGTTGGGAACTATAAATAAAGATATTTCAATAAGAACAATTTAGCAAAATGCCTATAAGAGATTAATTATTTAACATTTTAAATGGTTGCAACTATTCCAACTCGATCATGTGTTTTTTTATGAATATTTTGAAATTAAATCAAAATATATAAATAATGTGTTAAATTATTCATCTCTCTCTAATGGGTAACTTGAAGAATCTCCATTTCAATAATTTAGCCACAAGTAAGCGGCAACTGACAATAACCCTTTTTGTTGTTCAAAGTTGGCAACACATAACTGCCAAATTGTGATAGTAGTGAAGACCAAATGACCAAGGTGGCAACATATAACTACCAAATTGTGATAATTCTAAAGAATTGGAATACCGGCAATCAAAACTTAAAATGTTACTGTTTTTCATTTGATTAGTCACTGCAGCCATAATTTGTTGTTTTTCCTCTCTCTATGAATATCATCTTACAGTTAACACTTCGGAACAAAAATGTGTGCGTTGACACGCACACATTCACCCAACAAAGAACATGTGAAAGAAAACATATGTTACATGCGCATTTTTCACATAACAGAAAGTATGTTCGCACATCACATTGCTGAACAGGAAACTTGGTACATGCATCTCTCTCTCTCGCCGTGCAGCTCATGCTCACATTGTAGCCACCATTCAAAACAAGCAGATTCAAAATACATGCCCTGTCCCTAATGTTCCTGACTATCCACACTGGTCACCTTGGAGCTTCCTCTTCCTTGATAAATTCTGAATTTCAATTAGCATGGTTAGATTTTTCACGATCAAAAAAGAATGAGGGCAACATATGAAGCCTCTACAGCACCGTCTCGATGTCGGTCTCATCATCCTCCTCCCAGTCCAAATTGAAAGACCTTGCCTTATCCATCAACTCAGTTAAGCCTGTGAGATCCTCGAGATAATTAGGGTGGTTTAACGCTTGGATGACAAACTCCAGTTCCCTTCTCCTGTACTCTGACACCACCTGGAGAAAAGAAAAGACAGTTGAAAGGAAAGAGCAAAGATTTACACAATTAATGCACAATTTTGGGGGGGAAAGAGCACATAAATACACAAAATAAATCAAATTTGTAGGCTGATCTATGAAAGTGTTAGTGCTCAATTTGGTTGAAATATTGAAACAGGAAATCTCCTTTTATATAGATCATCTATATTGCATATACTAAATTTCTTGTGATGTATATGAGTGTCATCATCATGCACTAAAAGCCATCGATTTTTTCTGATTTAACAATAGCCTTTAGACCTTTCTTCTCGCCTTATGAAGTAAGAAACTCACTGCACAATGGAGTCCTAATAAAGTAGGAATTTCTCCCTAAAGGCTTCCTTGCATAGGGGTGGCAACGATTGGGTCCAGGTTTTGGACCCAGACCTGATCTTTTGGTCCAAAATTTGGACCCATACCCGGACCCGAGGTCAGGTCTACCCGTCGGGTCCTGGGTCTGATCAGGTCAATTGCACAACATTTATGAATACCCACATATATGTACATTCCCGATCTTTTGGTTCAAAATTTGGACCCATACCTGGACCCGAGGTCAGGTCTACCCGTCGGGTCCCATGTCGGGTCAGGTCCATTGCACAACATTTATCAATACCCACATATATGCACATTCCTGTAACAACTGGAAATTCCTTAGAAACAAACGTATTGACAACATTTATGAATACCCACATATACCCATATTATTAGGGTTGGGTCAACAAACATATTGGCAACATTTATGAATACCCATATACACCCATATTATTCAAGTCAGGTCCAGGTCTGGGTGTGCCCGGACCTGAGGTCGGGTATACCCATTAGGTCCCAATTCTGGTCAGGTCCATTGTCAACCCTATACTTGAATGAGGGATTAAGAAAAATTTTAAATTTTTTGGGTTATTTGAAGTTTTTTTTAATAAATAAAATAAGAAATACACTTTGTTGATTTTATTAGTTTTCAGTTAAGCTTTTTATTTAACCTTTTGTTGTTTTGGCCATATAAAGGTGAGAATTCACAAAACATGTTTTCATTATTTGATAGTGTCCTAATAAATAAAATTCATTTCCATATCCAGTGAATCTAAATTTTCAAATTATAAGGGTGCATATAGTTTGTCTTCCAAAAAAAATGAGGAATATTGGAATTTCTTATTTCTTATTTACAACTATGAATTGTATTGCTTAAAACATTTATTTTAATTGAAAGCACCAGAACTAAAACTTAAATTTTATTTGTGATGCTCATGCATCACATAGGCTGCGCTTCGGTAAAATGAAAACTCGATATCAGCAGAATCGTGATCTTACTAAGTTGGAGCACGCTGTACATCGATTGAATGAGCTTCCAACAAGTACCATCTGGGAAAACTGAGAAAGAGAGCCTCGTATTTGATGGGGCAAAATACCAAGTGGTTGAGAACTACTTTCTGAAATGGAACTCGCCATCTCTCCTGGAGCATTCATCCTGTAAAAAAGCCAAAAAACTACTTGAGAAAACAGAAAAGAAAAGACAAATGAATAAGTAATCTTTATCTAGAGTGCTCACTTTTGTTAGATAGAAGTTGAGATGCAGCAAGAGTAACTTTTTAAAAGCAACTTCATCCAACATAATAATATCAAAGATGAGTCTTCAATAAAAAGAGTTTTACCCCTCTGGATGGTGTAAGATTCCTATCATGAGTTCCACCGCAAGAGCAGAAGCGATGGGAGCAAGCCCTGGTCGGGTTACAGTGCATTGCTGATCTAATGTGCGGTTTGAAGTCGACTATTCATAAGTAAGAAACAAACATATCAGCATTAATAGCTAACAATCTTGAAAAGAAGATACTGAAGCAAAACATAAGATCACATTGTCAATGGGAACAGGAAATGGTCAATAAATTTTCAAAATTGCAAAGGTTATTCAAGTGAGGAAAAATTACGTCATTTGGAGCAACAACATCATTGCAAAAGTAACAGCCAAGTCGCCTGCTTTCATGACCCTCAATCCCAGAAGAGCAGACAGAAAATGAAGCATCTTTATCGTCTGCCGATACACCAGCCCCATGGCGCATGACAACATAGCTGTCAAATCCCAGTGCAGCAGTGATGGCAAGCTGAAAAGGCAAAGTATGATTAGCACGGAGGCCAACGAAACCTCTTAAGTATCAGTGTTTTTCGAACGAAGAGAGGGAGGAAGATAGATATTTAAATATGGACAGTCACGTAGATATATTACATGCAAATAATTATGAATCTAATATATATATATATATATATATAT